ATTCCAGACCAACTTACTAAATTCTGAAAAATTTAGCAAAAATTAATTAGCTGAATATTTGCTAATTTGTTAAGTTTTGATGAACTTAACAAATTAGCAAATATTCAACTAGTTAATTTTTGCTGAATTTTTCAGAATTTATAAAAACAGCTGTAATATCTCTAGATTTTGCCTAACTTATCAAATATAATCTAAAAATTCAATATTTTAAAATTGATATAACTGATTTATATAAGCAATTAATTACTATATATATTATCATTATATAGTTACATTTTTAATAATATAGTCAATTTGTGATATATTTGAATTTTGAAATTTTGTTATTACTAAAAGTATATAACATATAAAAAAAAATTATTCAGAATAATCTACGAATTTGAATAGCTGCTAATGGCTCACTTATGGTTTTATTTTTAAATTATTATGATATTATACTTTTCTATAGTAACAGTAATGATGATAGCCAAAATTTAATCTTATAGTAAAAATTATATTTATATTATACTTTTCTATAGTAACAGAAATGATGCTAGTTAAAATTAAACTTATAATAAGATTTATATTTATGAGTCTATATTATTTGATTACTAATTCCTAAATCTATTTTTTTTTAATGCATTTATAAAGCAATTAGATGAGTGCACAGTAAAACTATTTTTTCTACTAATTATGAATGAACTGAAAAAATTTGCTTGTAAATTGTACTTTGACAATAATAATTTAATTTTTGTAGAATGTAGAGACACTAATATTTGCAAAATATATAGCTATGAAATTTCTTCTAATCTTTTGCAATTAGTAATTTTACTCAACTGCAGGCACTTTTTTTACTAGAAGTGTATTATGAAATATAATTGTTGTCCTTGCAAATATAAAGACTATGAAACACCAAATTAATATATTAAAATGTTAACTTCTCATTGTTTTGAAAAATATTAAACATACCATCTTTTCAAGCACAAGCCAATGAACTACAAGTACAAGCCAATGAATGATAAGCACAAGCTGATGAACTACAAGCACAAGTCGATAAATGACAAGCACAAGCTAATGAACAGATACAATTTAATAAACTATAAGCATAAGATGTAATGAACAAGAGCAAATTAATGAACAAGCGCAAGTCAATGAACTACAAGTGCAAGTGTATGGGCAAGCATAGGGCAGGCAAACACAAAGCGGGCAAGCACAAAGCAGGCAAACACAAAGTGAGCAAGCACAAAGCAGGCAAGCACAAGGTTGGCAAGCACAAGATGAGCAAGCACATGATGGACAAGCACAAAGCAGGCAAATACAAAGTAGGCAAGCACAAGAAGAGCAAGTGCATAGTGGGCAAGTACAAAGCAAGCAAGCACAAAATGGGCAAGCAAATGGCAGACAAAAACAAGATGGGCAAGTGAATAGCAGGCAAGCACAAAATGGACAAGCATATAGTGAGCAAGTACAAGTTAATAGACAATCTAATGAACAGGTTAGCATTATTAAAATTTATCATACAGTATTATATAATATTTATATTATGAAATATATATTAAAAATTAATTTTGATTTAGAAAAATATGTTTGTAAATAATGTATTAAAACCTCTATTGATATTATCAAAAAGGCTATATAGGTCAAAAGTACCAAAAAAAATAGCAGAAGTTGTTAAGATTCTAATTATTCCTAATAGAACAGAAGATAGCTCAGTTGAAGCCTATAAACCAACAAGTCAAATTTTAAATGATTTATTTAATATTGCAAAACAAGCTGAAAAGCAATCAAAAAAGTCTAATTTAATAGAAATTAGAAAATAATATAATTATGCTAAAGCTTTTGAGAATTGAGTAAAGGAATTAATAAGTGGGGCATAAAGAATAGAGCAGCTTGTACAACACAACATTACCTTATATAAGTAATCAAATGACAATAAGCAATCTTTATCAGATAATGTATAAGGTACGAAATATATTTAATATATTTAGTAAAGTTGGTGTTGGAGCAATTGACCAAGCTAGATGTTTTACAGCAAATTATTTTTCAGAATACAGCAATAATGATATTAAAAGAATTGTTAAATATGTAAAATATAAAAGAGTTAGTTAAATCATATAATTAACATTAATATGTATTTCATATAATTGCAATTAAATAAATTGAATTGAATTAGCATAACAAATAATCAGTAATAAATTAAAGTAATAAATTAAAGTAATAGATAATAAGTAATAATAATATCCTGGTTTATTAGAGATTAGTAGATTTTTTTCTAGATTGTATTATAGCTATTATTATAAATTTTGGGACATCTGCTCATTACTTAAAATCTTTTTGGTTACTAAATAAATTATTTAACTCTTCAGTCCAAATGTAGTAATTTTCAGAGTTAGGTAAATTACTAAACAATTAAAAAGATTTTGAATAATAAGCAGATGCTTCAGAATTTATAATAATAGATGTAATGATAATTTATATTGCTACTAATTAGCTGTATAAGCAGCAATCAAGTGGCAGTATGAATTATCATTAACACAATCTAGGAAAAAACCTCAATAAGCCAGAATATTATTAATTATAACAGATAAGTATTTGTAGTCGATCTAAGTTTATTAACTTAACTTAGCTAATATTTAAAAATTAGCTTAGCTGAATAAGTTGAAGTTGATAATTCTAATTGGTTAATTAAAGGCATATAATTTTAAAACTGTTTTCATCTAGTAAAAAAATTAGCCAAATAATTGTCTATTGTCGATAAGTTTTTTATTTCAGTATTGTCAGATTATTATAATGTCAAAAATATTGTGATTTGGTCTAAACTTAATTAGTTACTATAATTTTTAATATAACTTATTATAAAATCAACTTGACTAAGTTGATTTTTTGAAAACTTAGCTTAGTAGGCTAAAGTTAATTTTTTTAAAAAAATCAGCTAGCTAAGTTGGCTAAGCTGATTTTATTGACTAATGCAAAATCGACTATAAATACTAAAGATCATTAAGTGATTTAATAATTGATACATGTACATAGATCATATCTAACTAGTTGATTTATCTTTATTAAAAATGAATTAGTATTTGTAATCTATTTTGCATTAGTCGATAAAAGCAGCTTAGCTGACTTAGTTAGCTGATTTTTTTAAAAAAATCAACCTTAGCCTGCTAAGCCAAGTTTTCAAAAAATTGACTTAGTTGACTTTATATTAATTATAATAAAAAAAATATCAAATCTTTCAAAGTTTAATCAGCTCTAATATAGCTAGCTAAGTTAATTTTTAAACATCAACTTAGTCAAGTTGATAAATTGGATTGACTATAAACACTAATGATCTTTTATAGTTCATATATATTTACTGATCATTAAGTAATAATTTTTAAATATATATGAACTATAAAAGATTGTTAAGTTATTTAACAGTCTTTTAATAAATTATTAAAAGATTAAAAAAGGTCATTAAGTTACTTAACAGTCTTTTAATGCATCTTGAAAAGATTAAAAAGATAGTTAAGTTACTTAATGATCTTTTTTAATTTTTTAATGAATTATTAAAAGACTATTAAGTAACTTAATAACTTTTTTTAATCTTTTAATGATTTATTAAAAAACTATTAAGTGACTTAATGATCTTTTTTAATCTTTTAATAATTCATTAAAAGACTGTTAAGTGACTTAACAATCTTTTTTAATTTTTTAATAATTTATTAAAAGACTATTAAATGACTTAACAATTTTTTTTAATCTTTTAATAATTCATTAAAAGACTGTTAAGTGACTTAATGATCTTTTTAATCTTTTAATAATTTATTAAAATATCATTAAGTGACTTAACAATCTTTTTTAATTTTTTAATAATTCATTAAAAGACTATTAAATGATTTAATAATCTTTTTTAATCTTTTAATGATTCATTAAAAGATTGTTAAGTGACAATGATCTTTTTCAATCTTATTAAGATTTATTAAAAGACCATTAAATGACTTAATGATCTTTTTAATCTTTTTAAGATTCATTAAATGATTTAATGATCTTTTAATAATTCATTAAAAGATTGAAAAAGATCATTAAGTCACTTAATGGTCTTTTAATAATTTATTAAAAGATTAAAAAAGATCATTAAGTTACTTAACAATCTTTTTCAATCTGCTAATAAATCATTAAAAATGAATATGTGTTAGTATTTAATGAATTTGGTTCTAAAAGAAATAAATATAATGGAATATGTGCAAATTGCAAGTACCTTTATGTTCAGAAAATTTTGGACTAAAGATCACTTCTGACCCTATCTGGATCCAATAAAATTACAGAATCTTGTATAATAAAACAAATGCAAAAAACATAAGAAATTGTAAAAAAATATAAATAACACAAAAATTTATTATGATAACTAACTTCTGATCTCTAAATAAAAGTTTTTAGAATAAAATTTTACTTATAAAACACAATTGTTAATGTTAGATATATAGTGAATTTTTGAAATACTATAACCTATATTCTTTTGGCTAGCAGCTTAAAATTTTTTGGACATAAGAATATTCGCAAATTGCAAGCAATATAATACATCTTATGCTTGATGTCAAATATGTATCTTCAGAATAGTGTTCCAAGTTGGTAAAAATTTTGCCAATCAACTAGTTGCCAACTATAATTAACTTTTATATCATGTGACTAAATTTGTTAATTAGCCAATTAAATAAAAGAAATTAGTATGAGTTAGTCCGAACAAACAGAATGTCTCATAATTGAACTAATTAATGATTTAGTTGTTTAGTTGTTTTTAAAATTTTTCAAATTAACTAGTTGAAAAGTTGTCAACTAGTTGATTTTTCAACTAATGATTTGGATCACTACTTTAGAAGACAATACAAGAATAAACATGTTGAAATAAGAATATCAACAATTGCATTAAATAATTTTAACTTAAAGCTATAAAATATGAAAATGTAATCAAATAGATTCTTTTTAATAGTTTAGTTAATGTTCAAAAGAATGGTGATAGATTTTTAGCAATGTAAATTATAAATATATACAGTTATGTTTATCATCATATAAAGTGAAAATTAAAATATTGACACAAATATGAAATAATTTAAAAGTAAGTTTATATACCTATCCCTTAGATTGTAGGCCAACACAAGCAAATTTGCCTGCGTTTTTGCATTTTTTTAGCTCTGATCTACTTTTTTAAATTGTTAAAATATATAAATAAAATTT